CTGCGAAACTTTCGCATGCGGAAGGGGACTTTCCTGGAACTTTGTGACTTGCTGTCCCCTGCCCTGAAGCGCAAGGACACCCGCATGCGAGCAGCCCTGACTGTCCAGAAGCGAGTGGCCATAGCCCTCTGGAAGCTTGCAACGCCAGACAGCTACCGGTCAGTCGCGAACCACTTTGGCGTGGGCAAATCTACCGTGGGGGTTGTTGTCCTGCAAGTAGCCAAGGCAATCGTCAAGGTACTGCTGTCAAAGGTAGTGACCCTGGGAAACGCGCAGGCCATCATAGATGGCTTCGCCGCGATGGGATTCCCAAACTGCGGTGGGGCTATAGATGGGACTCACATCCCTATCCTGGGACCAGGCCACCAGGCCAGCCAGTACATCAACCGAAAGGGCTACTTTTCAATGGTGCTGCAAGCACTGGTGGACCATCGGGGACGGTTTACAAACATCTACGTCGGATGGCCGGGCAAGGTTCATGACGCTCGCGTGTTCAGGAACTCTGGTCTGTTTAGACGGCTGCAGGAAGGTATTTACTTCCCGGACCACAAGATAACTGTTGGGGATGTGGAGATGCCTACAGTGATCCTCGGGGACCCAGCCTACCCGCTAATGCCCTGGCTCATGAAGCCCTATACTGGCGCCCTGGACACTGAAAAAGAACTCTTCAACTACCGGCTGAGCAAGTGCAGAATGGTGGTGGAGTGTGCTTTTGGCCGTCTCAAGGGGAGATGGAGAAGCTTACTGACTCGCTGTGATCTCAGCGAAACCAATATCCCCATCGTTATTGCAGCTTGCTGTGTGCTCCACAATCTGTGTGAGAGCAAGGGGGAGACCTTTATGGCGGGGTGGGAGGTTGAGGCAAATAGCCTGGCTGCTGATTACGCCCAGCCAGACAGCCGGGCGATTAGAAGAGCCCAGCGGGACGCGCTGTGCATCCGGGAGGCTTTGAAAGCCAGTTTCAAGGCTGAGCAGGGTACCCAGTGACTTTTAAGTTTGTGGACACAGAAGCAGAACTTGCCCCCGTTTCTTTACCCAGTTGCCGTCGACTATCCTCTCCAATCACATACCCCCTTCACCCCCTTCCCAAAAAATAAAATCTGTTCTGTTTTGTTAATGGACACCATTGTCTTTATTACTGTTTTCGCGGGAATGTTTTAAACCTGGGACGCAGACTGTGGCGGGGGGCGGGTTTAGTGTTGTGATGCAAATGATGCTTCTAAACTCCAGGAATGACAGGCTCCGCGGTGGTGGACTGGTTGTTTCAACGGAGCCTGCCAGCCCTCCTGGCCGGGACTGCGTGTATGTGTCGGCTATGTGACTGTCTTGCAGGGGGAGGAGGGTTACAGATCCCCTGCTGCGCGGCTCTGTGATCCAGGGTAAGGACCGCTGCATAAGATCTGTAACTGCCCTCCCCCGCCACCAAGTCACAGAGCAACACCACCCCCCCCACCACACAGAACATGAAAACCACCTCCCAGACTGACCAGGATAACTAGTCACTGCACTGTATATGTGCCCTGCTGCTGCTCCTGCCCCCTGCTAAAGGTGACTGTCCTGTCCAATGACCAAGCCCCTTCCCCCCCTTCAGACAGACTCCCCTCCAAAAGAAGAGGATGGAAACAGAAATGAACAGAAACGTATTCTTTATTAACAACCGCACATGGAACGGGGGGGTGAAACTTGGACGGGGTCTTGTGTGAGGCGGGTAGGAAAGGACTTTTCAAATTTTGGGGAATGAGAGCCTTCTAGTGGTAGAGCAGTCCGCAGGGGTGGAGTGAAATTTTTCACGGCCCCTTCCACCCCTCCGTGTTTGGACTTTGGGTGAGGGGGGTATGGGACTTGGTGGCGGGGCAGGGCAGTTACAGAGAGACTGCAGCGGGGCTCTCTCCTCCTGCCTCCGGTCCTGCAGAACATCCACAAGGCGGCGGAGCGTGTCCGTTTGCTCCCTCATTAGTCCAAGCAGCGTTTGAGTAGCCTGCCTGTCCTCCTGTCGCCACCTCTCCTCCCGTTCCATGTTTGCCCGGTGCATTTGGGACAAGTTCTCCCTCCACTGTGTCTGCTGGGCTGCCTGTGCTCGGGAGCATGCCATTAGTTCAGCAAACATGTCTTCCCGTGTCCTATTCTTCCTCCTCCTAATGTGCGCTAGCCTCTGGGCAGATGTGGCTGTGGGAATTGGAAAAAGGGAGTGAATTCCTGAGACAGAGCAATGTATCTGTGAACAGAGAACATAGTCTTTCTCTGTGAACAAGACCATGCAGAGCACCTATCACACGCGCACTGAGGACAAGGTCGAATTTTCGGCCCTCGCCTACCGTGCCTGCGGTCTTGCTGTGGCGAGCTGAGGAGCAGGGCTGGACACCGGACTTTGTCTAGCTGGCAAACATGGTAAGCCGTAGACTTGTGGCCGCTTAAAACTTTAAGAGTGGCACTGGCCTCCTTTCACATAGAAAGCAATGCGAGTCTCTGCTGGCAGCAATCCTGCAAGCATGAACTCTGGCCCTGTCCCACCCCCTCGCGGCTGTAAACCGCGTGGCTGTAAACCGGCGGTTGCAGTTCTGTAAAGGGACGGGCAAGCAGTCCCAATACTAACTTTCCCCTACCTAATTCACAGCAGGGAGTCATGCCAGACATCACCCTCCTGAAGGTCTCGGAGAGCCAGAAGGAGAAGATGCTCCGGGACAGCCTGCAGAAACCGGGGCCATTTGCTGCGCTGCTCTGCAAGGCCATGATCCCGGAGTACCTGCTGGCGTTGTGGCAGGGAAACGTGTCCTACCACGGGGGGCCTAATAAGCTCTCCCTGCCCAGGAACCTGCTGATGAGGCTGGAAAAACACCTGCAGGAGGTGTATGAGGAGTTCTCCCCGGAGGATGTCGCCTCTATCCCCGGTTACATTGACCAGTTCTTGGCTTAGGTGCCCTTGGAGGGACAAATGACTGCAGGGTTTTGGGCACTATAATCATGAAGCGGACATTGTGCAATTTTTTGAAAATGGTTCGGACTATATATTGAGGCGCCCAAAGACAGACTAATCATGACACACTTTGCACTGATTCCCCTTTTGTTTGACTTTCCTGTTTACATGTTTTGAAGCACTTTACCCACTGTTAATATTTTCAATCTTCCTGTTTTGTTGCAAATAAATGTTTACATGTTTTAAAGCACTTTAGCTACTGTTAATATTTTAAATATGCCAGTTATATTGTAAATAAATGTTTAGATATTTAAAACACTTACTGCTTGATCCTTCCCCTGAATCTGTGTCTGGGGTAACGGCGGGGGACGGTTGGTAGGGGATCTCTGTCAGGGTGATGAAGAGCTCCTGGCTGTCGGGGAAATCAGCGGTGCCAGCGCTGTCGACTGCCTCGTCCTCCTCATCTCCTTCTTCATCTTCCCCGTCCGCTAACATGTCGGAGGAACCGGCCACGGACAATATCCCATCCTCAGAGTCCACGGTCAGGGGTGGGGTAGTGGTGGCGGCCGCACCTAGGATGGAATGCAGTGCCTCGTAGAAACGGGATGTGTGGGGCTGGGATCCAGAGCGTCCGTTTGCCTCTTTGGTCTTCTGGTAGCCTTGTCTCAGCTCCTTGATTTTCACGCGGCACTGCGTTGCATCCCGGCTGTAGCCTCTCTCTGCCATGGCTTTAGAGATCTTCTCATAGGTCTTTGCATTCCGTCTTTTGGAGCGCAGCTCGGAAAGCACGGACTCATCTCCCCACACAGCGATGAGATCCAAGACTTCCCGATCCGTCCATGCTGGGGCCCTCTTTCTATTGGATTGCACGGCCATCTCTGCTGGAGAGCTCTGCATCGTTGCCACTGCTGCCACTGCTGCTGAGCTCGCCACGGTGTCCAAACAGAAACTGCGCTTCAAACTGCCCAGACAGGAAAAGGAATTCAAATTTTCCCGGGGTGTGGCTGGTCAGAGCATCCGAGCTCGGACTGCTGTCCAGAGCGTCAACAGAGTGGTGCACTGTGGGATAGCTCCCGGAGCTATTAGCGTCGATTTCCATCCACACCTAGCCTAATTCGATATGGCCATTTCGAATTTAGCGCTACTCCTCTCGTTGGGGAGGATTACAGAAATCGATTTAAAGAGAGCTCTATGTCGAACTAAATGGCTTCCTGGTGTGGACGGGTGCAGGGTTAATTCGATATAACGGCGCTAAATTCGACATAAAAGCCTAGTGTAGACCAGGCCTTAGATCCTGTTCCCACAAGCCCTACCTTGATGGGTCAAAAAGGTGTGGTTTTCAGTTGTATTAGCTCAATAAATCTAACATGATTGAAAAGACCTTTTAAAGTTTTTAAAAATGTAGTCTAACAATTTTTAAGGCTGTCAAGGGATTAAAAAAATTGTTATTAATCGCACCGTTAAACATTAATACAATTCTGTTTATTTAAATATTTTTGGATGTTTTCTACATTTTAAAATACATTGATTTCAATTACAACACAGAGTACAAAGTGTACAGTGCTCATTTTATATTTATTTTTGATTACTAGTATTTGCACTGTAAAAAAACAAAATAAAAATATTTTTCAATTCACCTAGTACAAATACTGTAGTGCAATCGCTTTGTCATGAAAGCTACAAATGTAGAATTATGTAAAAAAAAAAACCTGAATTCAAAAATAAAACAATGTAAAATTTTAGAGGCTGCAAGTCCACTCAGTCGTACTTCTTGTTCAGCCAATCGCTCAGGCAAACAAGTTTGTTTACATTTGCTGGAGATAATGCTGCCCACTTCGTGTTACAATGTCACCTGAAAGTGAGAACAGGTGTTCGCATGGCATTGTTGTAGCCGGGCATTGCATGATATTTACATGCCAGATGCACTAAAGAGTCATGTGGCCCTTCATGCTTCAGCCACCATTCCAGGGGACATGGGTCCATGCTGATGACGGGTTCTGCTCGATAACAATCCAAAGCATTACAGACCGATGCATGTTCATTTTCATTATCTGAGTCAGATGCCACCAGCATAAGGTTGTTATTCTCTTTTGGTGGTTCGGGTTCTGTTGTTTCCGCATCAGAGTGTTGCTCTTTTAAGACTTTTGTTTAGCATATCTGGCACACAAATACCTTGCAATGCTGGCTACAAAACTACCAAGCAAATGCCTGTTCTCAATTTCTGGTGACATTGTAAATAAGAAGAGGGCAGCATTATCTGCTGTAAATATAAACAAGCTTGCTTGTCTCTTAGTGATTGGCTGAAAAAGAAGTAGGACTGAGTGAACTTGTAGATTCTGATGTTTTACATTGTTTTGTTTTTGAGTGCAGTTATGTAACAAAAAAAAATCTACATTTGTAAATCACGACAGAGATTGGACTACAATACTTGTGTGAACTGAACTGAAAAATACTATTTCTTTTGTTTATCATTTTTACAGTGCAAATATTTATAATCAAAAATATACACTTTGATTTCAGTTACAACACAGAATACACTATATATGAAAAAACATCCAAAATATTTCATAAATTTCAATTGATATTCTATTGTTTGAGTGCGATTAAAACTGCTATTAATCACAATTAATTTTATTAACCGCAATTAATTTTTTTGAGTTAATCACATGAGTTAACTGCAATTAATTGACAGCTCTAATAATTTTGCAGTTGTGTTAAGCTACTTCGCACTAATGCAATTGAAAACTATATTCTTTTTGGCCATCAGGACAGGGCCATAAAAGCTATGATAAAACCCATTGGCTTCAATGGTACAGGTTTTGGTCCTTGAGGCTGAACAAGGTGGAGCCCAGCATCTGTGCTGAGCCCCCACCCACCACAACTAATTACTTTCATTTAGTATAACCTCTAGCACATAGTAAAGCTTGGAGTACTCCATATTCTGGAGCATACAAGAACACACAAAATGGGTTTGGACTTAAAGCCACACAAGCTGTATTGTGGGTTAGAGTACTGACAGTTGAATATGTGGCAGCTTGCAGGTGTTCAGCAGGGGCAGGGCCCTGGTTTCAGCACAGGTATGGAGGAGGGTTATGGTGTATACCAGGGGTCGGCAACCTTTCAGAAGTGGTGTGCCGAGTCGTCATTTATTCACTTTAATTTAAGGTTTTGCGTGCCAGTAATACATTTTAACGTTTTTAGAAGATCTCTTTCTATAAGTCTATAATATATAACTAAACTATTGTTGTATGTAAAGTAAATAAGGTTTTTAAAATGTGTAAGAAGCTTCATTTAAAATTAAATTAAAATGCAGCGCCCCACTCCCAACCCCCCCGGACTGGTGGCCAGGACCCAGGCAGTGTGAGTTCCACTGCAAATCAGCTCGCGTGCTGCCTTTGGCACATGTGTCATAGGTTGCCTACCCCTGGTATATACCATTAAATGGGAGGTGCATGGCCAGCCAAGTACCAGTGGCCAAAGTTCAAAGCACTAGTGCTGATATATATACCTTGAATATCATTAAAAAGTCAACATTTACCTAATATCTGTTTGAGATACCTCACCTGTTTTCTTGTATGTGGAATGGGAATGTTGTGTTGGCTTGTGTGGCGGTGTAGGAGCCCATGACACAATTTGCTCTAGTGTTGTCTAATCTTCCCCTTGCTTCAATGTGCAGGATTATGTTAATAGATTAGGACATTAGGGTCAAAGGTTATTTAATGGAAACGATTAAAGATCATACAGAGGTACTTCAGGCTTTTGCCACTGGGACTTAGCTGGCCATCTTTCCCTCAGCAGGTGGTCTCCATTTTATTATTAGGAAAATAACTAACATACTTTTAAAGTATTTTTACTAACATAACATAAAAATTCCAAGAAGCACACCAGTTCTTAAATTTTAAATTGTATGACTTGGAGTTGAACCATATAGGCAGAAGAAGATAATTTAACTGAATGAGTTTTTGAATATGGTTCTTTCTCTTCATTTTTATTACCCTTTAAAATGTGTGTTCAGTATTAGGCAAATACATTCTTTTTATGACCCTTTTCAGACTTGGGAATTTTCACAAGCACTTTGTGCAACTTCAGATATTATTATTGAAATAGACAGGCAACTGAAGGTAGAAAATCTGACAAATAGAGCATCCCCTTTTATAGGCCCAGAAATCCCTCAAATATGAAATTATGCATTGTATCTGGCTTTTTATCACATAATATTAGTATAACATCCTAAGCAGGGAATTTGCTGTCAGTATAAAGTAATGACATTAAGGAGAAATTATCATATCAATATGAGTTGGTTTCCAAAATAGCATCTTACTGAAGTTTACTTTTTCTCTTTTTATACTTGGATTATATAAATATTAATATCAATTCAGCAAAGCTCCCTTGGGTTCTGTGACTGGATATATTAACCTTTCTCCATTAAGATGTCTTAACAGTCTTTTAACTATTTTTCCTTATTTGTATTGCTTTTCAAACAAAACAATTCATGTCTGATTGTGTTAATTTTATTTTATGGTGTTTGTGTGACTTAAATAGCAAAGTGATCTATGCATTATCTTTTCAAGAGATGCTCTGCCTTTTTTCATAGATTCATACTTTGGGGACAAGAGTTCGTATGCAGAAAATGTTAGCACAATGAATTTTACAAGCTCTTCTTCTGCAAGAGGTCTAAATAGTGCCTGGATAGGAAAAACACCCCTCTCTTCTAGTAGATCAGGTTGTAGAAGCAGGACTCCTCTCATGGGATATTCAGGTAGAGTTGATATTTTTATAGGAGTAGCTCTCTTTAAATCTGTAGCCTTATTTTTTAAAATATATTTTAACAATTTAATGTTACATAGTAACATACTTAACATTAACTTTTATGTTCATGTATGTTGGGGGGTATTACGTTATATAGGATACCTAGCATTGATGGATATGTACGTAAGAAAAATATTATTTTAGTTACTGATTAGCTACATTTTCTTCCTTGCATTCTTCTTCAAAATAATTGATATAATTGGAATTTAAATATTCTCTCAAATTATTCAGTTTTGGTGTAAGTGTATGGACATGTTGGTGAGTCTATGGTAACTTTACTAAGGTAACTTTACCTAAATTTGTACTCTATATTTTTTTATCTTGTCAGACAACAACAAAATCAGCTTTGTCCCCATTACTTTTAGGAAGAGTAATTTTTACTTTTGCTAGTGCAAAGCTCTCATCCAGAATCCACTAACATGTGAAGGAGTTAGCAGCAGAATTCTTCTAGTTCATTTCAAGGAGTTCTTTCACAACAAAGAGTGTGGCAGTGGGATAACAAGGAGGCTGCTGGAATCAGAGTGCTGAACCAGGGCTGCTTAACGTACACAAACTCAGTGCATGCTTGTATGCTGGTTGGAAGTCTCCAGATGAGGGAGCTCCAGCAGCAGAGCATTTTGAGTCACTCACAGTTACAGGGCAAGCAGTGACATAACCCCTCACTGCCCTGGATTGCACCCCAGAACATGACAGCCCCTTGGACAGAGTTTCCGTTAATATTAGGTGTTGGGTCTTCTGATACTAAAATTACTCTTGGGAGAATTCTGTGCCACTGCACGCATGCAGAATTCATGTCCCCTGCAGATTTCTTGGCTTCCTCTCAGAAAAATGACTTCTGACAGGGAAGCAAAGGGAAGCTTCAAGAGTGATCATGTACCCCTCCCCAGCAGCCTGGGTGTGTCTTTTCGGGCATCCGGAGCAGCCAGTGGAGAGGTAAATCACTGCAGGGTGGGGGGTGGGCCTGAGGGTGCCCCGGCCGGTTTCTCTTACTCTTTGCCGGGCTCAGCTACTAGTCCCAGATGGGCTGAAGGCAGGGGAGGACATGACTTCCTCTTCCCCTACAAGGAGCAGGCCAGACCTGTTCCCAGAAACCCACCCAGCTGCAGGAAGCTCTGCCCCCTCCCTACCCCTGCCCCCATCACTCCTCAGCTGCAGGGGAAGAGCTGCTCTCCCATCTGCCCAACCCCCTATGTATCCAAACTCCCCATACCCAGCCCCCCACTGAGCCTCACCCCCCACACCCAGAATCCCCCCACTGAGCCCCCTGAACCCAGACTCCCTCCTGAGACCCTCCCCCCTGGATCCGGACC